AGGAAAAGCCAATGGGGTGGTGGTACAAAGCCAACTGGTAGATCAACTCATGTACAACCTGCCTGCCCACAAATTGAAATTTGAATAATAATAAATCAGCACAAAGGATATTGCTTACCTTCAATGTGATATGTCCCTTGTGCTGCTGTGTCCTGCTTTAGCAGAAATCTTCCTCATATGATGTCCCCCCCTACACACACACACACATACACACACCCTAATCTTCTGGTGTGGCAGGGAAGGGGTCTGTAGAGCTGAAGGAGCTGCGACAATATGACTGCCCTTTACTCCCAGCTCCTCCATTCATAGAAGCCCGTACTACTGCTTCTATTAATAAAACATGATCTATGAATGGAGGAGACAGATCATTTGATCATCTGCTTGTCCTTTTCATTCATGGAAGCATTCTATGAATGAAGGAGGTAGGTGGAAAGGGAGAGTATAGTTGGGCACTCTCTTGCCCAACCTCTTTCTGTCATCACTTTAGAGACACTGCATGCAGACACCTTAACACCTCAGATACCAGGTGACCTTTCAGAAGTACCATGGCTTATCTGTTTAACTTCATTGAATTACCAGTATTCACTAATGCTTATGGGCCCCACCATTGCTAGCAGAAGACAGCAGACAACACCATATCAGGAACTTTAAACATTGCAGAACTCAAGTTGCAATTTCTAGTTAAAAGGACCTTTCTCTTCTAGGGCCATTGTTATTGAATTTAGGGTATGTATATTTATTTATGCCAGAGTATACATTTACATAATTCTCTGCATGCCCTGTTGTGGCACTGGTGGCACAGAAGGAGCTGATAAGTCAGCAAGTCTTTTCTTCCCCCTCTTGCTGCTAGTTTTGCAATGAAATAGTTGAAGCTTACTACTCTTGACTGTATAACCTGCTAAATGTTGCTAATTGATTATTTCTCTTTTACCAGTGTTCTGCCTTTATGTTTTAACTGGGGTTGTATATCCTAAACCCATTATTCCTGTAGCCAAACTCTTTTGAATAAGTCTAATATAGAGGTGTTACTAAAGAATTGTGTCTCTTGCATTATTATTATATAGTGTTGATATATGTCTGAACCCAGAGTGTCAGAGGTGTCAGGAGGCTTGCAAGGTCAAGGCAACCACTGGGGACAAGCATTATCAAGCGGCCCCTGCAAGGGTAGTGCTACATTGATCTGATAAATATACAACAGATGTTTATACACAGTACTAACTGTGCCAATCAAACCCCCAATATATCACTGAACACAGTTCTTTCCCAATAGACAGTCTTGTTCAGCTTTAGCCAACAAAGGGGCAACCATGGCATCGTGTAACTTCAAGTGAAGGTACTATTGTTTTCCCTTACAAACCAGCATTGGAGGTGTCAAATGTCCCCTATTTCTCTCCATAGGCCTAATCATAGATGGTCAGCCAATATGACAGTGATGTCTATGGACGCAGTTGCTGGTAAAGATGTCACCCTCTATTACCTATGACCTTTTGAAGAATTAAATTCTTCTATGAGACATAAGATCAATGCCATGCGTTAAGCAAAGGATTAATTGTTCCGCAAGAGACTTTTTGCTGCATAGATAGATCTGATCTTTACTTAGGTCATCCACCTGATTGAAAAATTGTGTTCTCCTGCTGGACAGACTTTTGCCCTCATACTTGCCAGATGACTCTTTAAATCTGACAGTAGCTGCTGATAAACTGCCTGAACTTCCACACTGTGCAATCAGAACCTGGGAGAGAGTAGGAAGTCTTAAACTTTCAAACCTCAGGTGAATGCTGACCTTTTAATTGCCACAGTAATTTCTGCCCTGTTTGGTTCTTTTTAGGGATGGTTTACTAAATGGAATATGTTTTTTAGAAGGTTTGTAGATTCAAAAACCCATTTGACAGAGAGAAAGCTATAGTGGAACTTTGCGCATAACAGTTTGATAGCAATTAATGTTCTTTAACAAAAGGACATATTGTACATTCCACATTAATAATTATGATACGAAAATGAGTGCGTGCTGTAAATTTCTTCCAACATTACTCCTGTTTCTTCTTGCTGGAGGCCACCATTTTGTTGAAGCCCAAAGCAGTAATTTTCCTATTGGAAACTCTCCCCCTCTCCTAGGTCTCAAAAGTTATATGTCACTTTCTTCCATTAAATGTGTGCATTTCCAGCCTTGGCTCAATTACAGAGGAAGGCTGACAGAAGCTTTACAGTGCAGAGGTTCACAAGGAGATAAGATAGGACACTATCCTGGGAAGATTAACTCTCTTCTGTCTCCCTGGCAGCAGAATGTGTCCTGTCACCTGACCTTTTCTTTTCTCCCTCCCTAATCTGTGCTTCTATCACACAGTCTGTGTCATTCCTGTTGCTTTTTAACCCACTCAGCAACAGTAAATCTTAATGTAATTGTTCCTTTGGAGTGGTGTATACACAGAGCTCTATAGGCTTTGTTCAGAATAGCTTGCAATCTGTTATTAGGGGACAGATTTTAGGGACTGATCTGTTAAAACTTTTTTAAAATGTATTGACATACAATGTATCACCCAAACCTTGAGATCTTTAACCACTTCAAAACCAAGCCAATTCGAATGTACATGTAAAAAACAGCTTTTTTTCTAGAAAATTATTTAGAATCTTCAAACATGATATTTTTCTGAACGGCAAAGGATCAAGAATAAAATGTTGATAGTTGCAATTTTTTATGTCACACGATATTTGCGCTGCAGTTTATCATACACAAAGTTTCAGGAAAACACTGCTACAGGGCGGCAGCTGTGCACAAAATCATAGCTGATATACGTGATTTTGCCTCTCTTGTAGGGGGTGCTCCGTTCACGGCTGTGGCTATCAATCACCAGGTCCTGGCCGGTGATCACTTGCCAGCGCCCAGTGATTGCTGAGGATGTCCAATGGGGAGGGAACTATTAGTAAACAAAACAGTTCTCCCCCCTGTCATCAGTGTGCTTACAGTGAAGCACAAACATAGAACATCATGTAAAACAGCACACACCCTTTGATCACCCAGATGTTAACCTCTTCCTTCCCAGTGCCATTAGTACAGCATCAGTGCTTTTTATTAGCACTGATCACTGTATTGGTGTCACTGGGGATGTCAGTGACACCAAGTCAGTTCCCCCCAATGTCAGAATGCCCGCTGCAGTCTCGCTATAATTCGCTGATCGCCATCATTACTAGTAAACATTTTTTTAAAAGCCCAGTATAAGTACCTCCAATTGTAAATGCTGTAACTTTCACGTAAACCAATTAATTTCCACGTATTGGGATTTTTTTTTGCAAATACATGTAGCAGAATACATTTTTGGCTAAATTTATGAGAAAATTAAATTTTTTTTATATTTTTACATGACATGTTTAACAGCAAAAAGTTAAAAATATTGTTTTTTTCTCAAAAATGTCAGTCTTTTTTTTATAGCGCCAAAAATAAAAAACGCACAGGTGATCAAATACCACCAAAAGAAAGCTCTATTCGTGGGAAAAAAGGGTGTAAATTTTATTTGGGTGCAGCGTTGCATGACTGCGCAATTGTCAGTTAAAGTAATGCAGCACCGTAACGCAACAAAATGGACTGGCCAGGAAGGGGGGGTAAAACCTCTGGAGGGCAAGTGGTTAATTTCAATGCGCACAAATACAATACCCATTTTTTCTGGAAAATATAAAAAGATGATGTTACGCCAAGTAAAACAGATACCTAACATGTCACGCCAAAAAATTGTGCACACCCATGGAATGGCAGCAAACTACGATACATTAACTTGTCCATGGGAAACACTTTATGCAGGTTACCAGTTTAGAGTTACACAGGAGGTCTGGTACTACAATTATTGCTCTCACTCTGATGTTTTCAATGATACCTTACATGTGTGGTGCTATTGCCGTTTACATATGTCTGTGGGACCTATGTATGAGTTCGCATTAGTGAGTGAGCACGGAGGGACAGGGGCACTTTAAATATTTTTTTTTTTTTTAATTATTTATTTTATTAATATTTTTTGACAATATCTCTTTAATTTGTTAATAACTTATTGCTATTACAGGATATGAACAACATCCCTTGTGATAGCTGGGCAGTGACAGGTACTCTTTATGCAAAGATCTGGAGTCTACTAGACCCCAGATCTCTGCTCTGCTTTTTTACAGCACCCAATCAAACCGAGATCAGTATGACTGTCTGCTTTACTAGCCAGTAACGACTTGTGAGCAAACAGCCGAAACTGGAAGTGACAAATTATGGACACTTGCAGTTTCATTAACCATAGAGACTATTCTGGAATGGATTTTTCTCCTTAATATCCATAGTCAGCTGGCATAACTGCTGGCAGTGGCACTGGAATTGGAGAGCCTGGAAATTGTGGTGGTGTGCTGTGGCAGGAGGGGGGCCCCCTTCGGCTGCTTGCGTATCCACTGCTCGGATCACTATTTCCAGAAGGGGTATCACTGGCTCTAAAGAATGATATCAGGATTATGGCTGCAACTGCAGCGATATTAATAATTTCCCAAACACATACTGTATATCTACACTATATTGCCAAAAGTATTGGGACGCCTGCATTTACACGCACATGAACTTTAATGGCATCCCAGTATTAGTCCGTAGGGTTCAACATGGAGTTGGCCCACCTTTTGCAGCTATAACAACTTCAACTCTTCTGGGAAGGCTGTCCACAAGGTTTAGGAGTGTGACTATGGGAATGTTTGACCATTCTTTCAGAAGCACATTTGTGAGGTCAGGCACTGATGTTGGACGAGAAGGCCTGGCTCACAGTCTCCGCTCTAATTCATTCCAAAGGTGTTCTATCGGGTTGAGGTCAGGACTCTCTGCAGGCCAGTCGAGTTCCTCCGCCCCAAATTCGCTCATCCATGTCTATATAGACCTTGCTTTGTGCACTGGTGTGCAGTCATGCTGTCACAGGAAGGGGCCATCCCCAAACTGTTCCCACAAAGTTGGGAGCATGAAATTGTAAAAAATGTCTTGGTATGCTGACACCTTAAGAGTTCCCTTCACGGGAACTAAGGGGCCAAGACCAACCCCTGAAAAACAATCCCACATCATAATCCCCCCTCCAAACTATACACTTGGCACAATGCAGTCAGGCACGTACTGGCAACCGCCAAACCCGTCCATTGGATTGCCAGACAGAGAAGCGTGATTCCTCACACCAGAGAACATGTCTCCACTGCTCTAGAATCCAGTGTTGGCATGCTTTATTATTTTATTTATTTATTTCAGGTACTTATATAGCGCCGTCAATTTACGCAGCACTTTACATATATATTATACATTCACATCAGTCCCTAACCCTCAAGGGGTGTACAATCTAAGGTCCCTAACTTACATTCATACATACACATACTAGGGCCAATTTAGACAGGAGCCAATTAACCTACCAGCATGTCTTTGGAGTGTGGGAGGAAACCGGAGTACCTGGATGAAACCCACGCAGGCACAGGGAGAACATGCAAACTCCAGGCAGGTGGTGCCGTGGCTGGGATTTGAACCAACGACCTTAGTACTGCCACTGTGCTACCTTTTATGCCACTGCATCCAATGCTTTGCATTGCACTTGGTGATGTGAGGCTTGGATGCAGCTGCTCGGCCATGGAAACCCATTCCATGAAGCTCTCTATGCACTGTTGTTGTGCTAATTTGAAGGCCACATGAAGTTTGGAGGTCTTTAGTTATTGACTCTGCAAACAGTTAGCGACTTCTGCGCACTGTGTGCTTCAGCATGCGCTGACCCCGCTCTGTCATTTTATGTGGCCTACCACTTCGTGGCTGAGTTGCTGTTGTTCCCAATTGCTTCCACTTTGTTATAATACCACTAACAGTTGACCGTGGAATATTTAGTAGCAAGGAAAATTCACGGACGGACTTATTGCACAGGTGGCAACCTATCACAGTACCACGCTTGAATTCACTGAGCTTCTGAGAGCGATTCATTCTTTCACAAATGTTTGTAAAAGCAGTCTGCATGCCTAGATGCTTGATTTTTTACATCTGTGGCCATGGAGGTGATTGGAACACCCGAATCCTATGATTTAGAGTGGTGTCCCAATACTTTTGGCAATATAGTATATATATATATATATATATATATATATATATATATATATATATACTGGTTGTCAAGTAGTTAAGGTATAGCTAAACACAAAACTTTTTTTCAGATTTGGATACAGTGGAGAAGGATTAGAACCCCTGTCAGGTTTTTATTGCTGTCTGTGCCCCCATTAGGGGGATTCACCCTCTCTTTTTGTCCTGTTTACCATTATCATCAAAAGTAAAAGCATTTTGGGTTGATACCAGAACAGAAATAAAGCTGAAATCTTCCAATGGGGACACTACTACTGTGACCCTGGTGACAACCAGGGATTCCCACACTTTGAAAGGATTTCCCCTCACGTTTTGGCTGTGGGACAGGTAGTGAAAAGAAATCTACCAGTTGGGACAAACTGGAAAAATACTGACATGGGCTATAACCCTCATTTACTCTATCCAAAATGAAAAAAAAAAAAGATTTGCCTTTAGTTCTACTTTAGCCTTTTGTTAGGACAAATAGTATACACATCTAGTTTACAACTGATAGTGAAGATCTGCCAGCACAGTACAGATGGGGCTAATTTTTATAAACAAGACATAATAACATTACATAGAAGGGGAAATCTAGGTTGGATTTTTCAACAAGTAAAAATGTAAGTGGCAATTTTCAAATAGTTCTGTTTTAGTTATGTTAATGGGAACATGTAACAAATGTAAAGTAGGTGCTATCCTATTCGTCACCAGGGGCAGACTGACAAGTCATGGGGCCCCCGGGCAATAGGGCATTATGGGGCCCCTGTGTCCTCACCCACACTCAAACCATACCCAAAAAAGCCTATGAAAGGTACCAGGGGCATCTCATGGGGCCCCTACTGACCCCAGGCCCTCGGGCAGTGCCCAAGTTCCCAAATGGTCAGTCCATCCCTGTTCGTCACACATTTATTTTTCACCTACCTGCTTGGGCCTCCCCATGACTTGCTGACATTCCCTCACCAGCCATAAGTAATCGTCTAGTCTTTGGTATGTTCCAAAAGCTAAAATCTGATTTGGATGAACTGACCTTTTTTAAACACATGGCCATTTTAGTGTGCCACAGCCTACTTTCTGATAATTGCTGAGGAAACGTTACATCTGTTTACAGCTATCCTGACACTCTAAATGTTGAATGTTTCTGTAGAAATAAAGGGGTGGCTAGACAAGACAAAGGTCTTTATTTTTAGAACTAATTGTAAGAGACAAGGTGAGATCTTTTAGCAATATTCCAGATGCAAGATCCTGCAAATCTCACTTGACCATGGCTTCTATTAAAAGTCCACACGCAGAAATAATGTGATCGTTGCAAAACTGCTGCAGAAGGAAGCAACAAAAGTATAAGTATCACTCTACTGGGATGGCAGCTAGGCTGTAGAAGATTACATGTCATTTACAACACTGAAAGCAGGTTATTTATGATCTAAGGGCTCATTTAGACATGCGGCAGCCCTTGCCACCCCTCTCAAAAGTGATCCACAGTGGTTCATTGTTTAAAGGATGATTGACAGTCGGCTTGACTCCTCGTTGCCTGTTTTAATCCTCATAGAGGGCAATGCCTCCAGTGGTCAGAGGTACTGATAACTGCAAAGAGAGAGTTTTTTTCCTAGGTTTATTTGAAGATCTCACCTTGTATGGGATATGATCCTCCAGTCTTCAGTCGAGAGGAGCAAATGATAAAAATGTACTGTGATGTCTCCACTAACATGGACAAGAGGGGATGGCAGCAGGTATCTGTATATAGTCAACTTGTAGAAGCACAGGCAGATGTCTTCCACCCATCAATCTCAAGGAGGTATCTGGGACTACTCATCACTGGTGTAAGTGAATGAAATGAATTACTAAGGTTTTTAAAGGTTCAGATTATATAGTTTATACATTTTTTAAACTGTATGTTTAAATCTGCTGTATATAATATCTTTGCTTTATAGGCAAACAAATTGGGTCCTTTTAGATCTATGCATGTGCACATCTTGTTCACATGTGCACATTCTGTGAAGAAGATAGATTTTCATGCATCATTGTGCATTTCCAAGGTGCACTGACGTGTTTTGATGCATGCATTTAAGATCTTTTCAATCTCGAATTTGGAGAGCTTTAAAGCGGACCTTCAGTAATTTTTTATATTTATTCCTATTAAATCTTCTTCCCTTGCTGTGTTAACTTTGGAAAGTAAAACATTTATTTGGTGCCAGTATATACGTTGTTTTTTTACTTCCGCTTTTTGCTAGGTGTGCGATGTGTTGTACAGTGTTCACACTGGCTCCTGGTATAGAATCTCTAGGTATCATTTATTTCTTCTTTTTCTCTCGCTCTTGTGAAGGTTTGCTAGCAGGGGAGGGGGCCGGGAGAGTGGAGGAGGGCTGAGGGAAGTCATAGGAAAGCCGAGGAGGGCTGCAGGGCTGGAGGGAGGGAGATAAGAGGAGTACGAGGTGGTAACAAGAAGTGTCGAAACTAGCTTTGCAACACACCAACAGATGGCAGCACAGGGTTGCATGCACAGTCACAGGGAACACCGACCTTGATAAGTCAGTGTGCCAAAATACATCAACCTGCATACATCAGGAGTTGTGCAACTGGTGCTATTCTGACCATGTGCTATTTCATCATGGACAGCAAGAACAAAGAGCAAACGTGAAATTCTGCGTGAAACTGAGCAAATTGCTGGATCTCCACAATGTTGTCAAAACAGTGACCTTTGAGCTGGATCTACATCTTCAGGAAAAGGGCATTTTCGGAGATTGAGCTCATTGAAGGTCTTCCTGCTCTCATCATCTTCCAGTGTAGTTCTTCCATTCTTGAAGTGCACGTGCCACTCAAAACACCTCAAAAGACTCATGGTAGCATTTCCATAAACTTGCTGAATCATGTCAAACAACTCTGTGGCAAATTTGCCTGCTGATATGGGGTATAGTGGTGATTAGGAAGCTTGTATGGGGTATGGCAGTGATCAAGATGCTGATATGGCATATGGGGTGATCAGGATGCTGATATGGGGCATGACAATGATCAGAATGCTGGTATGGGGCATGACAGTGTTCAAGACACTGGTATGGTGGTGATCAGGACCCTGGTATGGGGTATAGTGGTGATCAGGAAGCTGGTATGGGGTATGGCAGTGATCAGGATGCTGATATGGGGCATGACAATGATCAGAATGCTGGTATGGGTTATGGCAGTGTTCAAGACACTGATATGGTGGTGATCAGGACACTGGTATGGGGTATGGCGGTGATCAGGACACTGGTATGGGGTATGGTGGTGATCAGGACGCTGAAATGGCATATGGGGTGATCAGGACACTGGTATGGGGCAAGGCTGTGATCAAAATGCTGGTATGGGGTATGGCGGTGGTCAGGGTTATGGTATGGCAGTAATAAGGGTGCTGGTATGGCATATGGTGGTGATCAGGGTGTTGGTATGGTGGTGATTAGAACACTGGTATGGTGTATGGTGATGTTTTTGTGTGCATTGGGACAGGTGACAGGGGCTGACTGCACTGTTTATTGTCCTTACACTGGGGCAGTGATCAGGGACACTGTGGCTGGCTGGCACTGCAGTCTATGAGTACAAGTAGCCTGACAGGCTGATGTACACTCACAGGCTGCAGGATCGCTTCTCTCTGCTCTCACACTGAGATCACTCTGCGATCTTTAGTTTCACTTTCTAGTGTTTACTATGTGATTGGACAGAGCAATCACATGGCAAAACACAATGTGACCCGCCCCTCCCCCTCCCCATTTCTGGGCAATATACCGACCACCAGGCTCCTGGGTGCATGCTCTGTGAGTCGCACAGTAACCGCCGATGCAGGCTGATGTACAGGTATGTTAGCCTGCATCGGTAAAGATTCCTGTCCACTGTCTATGGACTATGGGCGGGCGGGAAGAGGTTAAGCTTTAAAATATTAGAAATACACACTGTTATTACATAGTTAGTCTGGCTGAAAAAGGACAAAAGCCCATCTAGTTCAACCATTAAAAAAAGTTATAATCCTACACCCACAGTTGATCCAGAGGAAGGCAACTATACTTTTGTATATTTTTGGATTGTGTATGTTTGACTGCAATTCCTCTTTAAGGCTAGCAGCCATTGATCAAGACTTGTTAATACATGTTGCTTATGTTATGTACAATTTGTTGTGCTGCCCTTGACTTCTATGGGTCTCCCAAAAAGCATTACAATGCAAACAATTGGCATGTAGTATTTTTCAAAATACCCTGCACTGCAGTGTTTAAATGAGTACAAACACTATTTTTATTATAGGAAAAGTGGATACATGTGAAAGTGGACTTACCCTTTAAGCGTTGACAATAATACCTGGAAGCTGATTGGTTTCTTTGCATAGCCACACCAGATTTTGCACTTTCCAGTTTTAGTAAATAACCCCCCCCCCCCCCCCAAATTGCATTGAGGCTCAGTTTTTGGCAGATTTTGGGGGAAAGGGGGAGCAGGTACCTTGTTTTGACAGGTACCCACTCCACTGCCCACTTCTGGCTCAGTTGACAGGTACCCACTCCCACTTCTGGCTCAGTTCGCGCGGCAAAGTGAGCCGGAAGTTTGCCCCCCTCCTCCCTCCCGCAGTCTTCTGGGAACTTTCACAGGTCCCAGGAGAGTGCAGCACCAATTAGGAGGCGCAGTGCAACTCATGCATGCACAGTGGGCACCAGGCTGTGTCACAGCCTAGTGCCCACAGTTGAGATTCCAGCGCTGTGGAGGAGAGAAGGGGAGAAGGGACTGCGCACGTGAGTACATCGCTGGACTCCGCGACAGGTAAGTGTGTGTTTATTAACCACCTCCCCTGCGGCCCATGTATATAAACGGCCGGACGGTGGCAGTGCAGGGTTGGGTGGCTGTTTATAAATGGCCTCCCTGCCCCCTGCTTTTGCGCGCTCCTTGGGAGCGCACAG